TGAAAGCTAGAGAGAGTGTGTGTGTACTAGCTTCTGGCCCACAGTCCTCCTATCAGGGCCAGCTGGGCCCTGATTAAGCTGGCCACAGCTGTGGCTGCTTTCCCCATCAGCCTACCTTTTCCCAGCTGCAGCCTTCTCCAGGGCTGCTTTAACTCCTTCAGGGGTGGAGCAGGGTGACTAGCCCGCTACAGGCTGTATTAGTAGGAGCATTGCCAGCAGATCGAGGGAAGTGATTATTCCCCTCTATTCGGCACTGGTGAGGCCACATCTGGAGTATTGCGTCCAGATTTGGTCCCCTCACTACAGAAAAGTTGTGGACAAATTGGAGAGAGTCTAGCGGAGGGCAATGAAAATGATCAGGGGGCTGGAGCGGCTGAGAGAACAGGGCTTGTTTAGTCAACAGAAGAGAATGGGGGGGGGAGGGATTTGATAGCAGCCTTCAACTACCTGAAGTGGGGTTCCAAAGAGGATGGAGCTCAGCTGTTCTCTGTGGTGGCAGATGACAGAACAAGGAGCAATGGTCTCAAGTTGCACTGGGGGAGGTCTAGGTTGGATTTTAGGAAACACTATTTCACTAGGAGGGTGGTGAAGCACTGGAATGGGTTCCCTAGGGAGGTGGTGGAATCTCCCTCCTTAGAGGTTTTTAAGGCCCAGCTTGACAAAGCCCTGGCTGGGATGATTTAGTTGGGGTTGGTTCTGCTTTGAGCATGGGGTTGGACAAGATGACCTCCTGAGGTCTCTTCCAACCCTAATCTTCTATGATTCTGTGAGGGCTTGTCTATACACAATCCTGGGGTTCCCTTTGGTTTGGTCCTGGTAGGTCTCAACTTGGCTGTCCCCTCTGTGGCAGGGAGTGATGGTTGGTGGGTAAGCCCACACCAATCAATAGGAATCCTGATCTCCCATGCTCATGCCTGGGAGGTTCCTCTATGGACAGACATGCTCTTTCTGCCCCAGAGGGAGCTGCCCAGCTGCTCTGTGCTGAGTTTGAGGATTTTCTTCTTAAAGGGCCACTTGCTTTTTCATCCATCTCCATGTAAAAATGCTGAGATGGCTGAATGGGCCTTGATTTCAGCTGCTCCCTGTGCTGGGTTTCCAGCACTTCTCTTTTTAGGACTCGGACACCTTCTTTGTCAGTAGTTAGGGGTGTGAACTGCCAGTAACATTAACACCTCTCACCAAAAGAGGCAGGACCAGAAGCTCTGGTCTTGGGCTCCAGCCCAGTGCACCTTCTGTGAGGCCTAAGAGCATTTTCTGGGGGAATTTCTTCTTCCTGCCTTGTGATACTTTACCTAAGATGTGTGATAATGCTGCCAAGAGTGGGAGAGTCACCAGGTGCCTAATGCTTGGCAGGTCTGCAAATAGTCTCAATTCCCTTGTTACGTCTGTTTGTTGAGCTTTAAAACAGTGGCACTTGGGAGTATCTCTGGTTGAACTCTCGTGTAGTGTCCCCCCTCGAGCCCTGGTGTTTTGGCTGGTGCAAGTGAGCGCTGCTGTTCTGGCTTGGTGGGATTCCTCAGAGTGTCTGTGGGTGGCAGTAGAACAACACCCTGCTGCTCTTCTCTTATTGGACCTGGCCACTGTCCTGTTCCCATGTAATGAATTCAAACAGCCTTTATAAATGATGTTCAGGTCAGATCTGCCTTGGGCCTCCTGGTGTGTCATATCTGCCACTTGAGATTTGTTGTAAAATACAGGTCAAGAACCTCAGCCTTGTTTTCTTTTATCTGGGAAAGGGAGTGGGGTGGGATGCTGCAGTTTGGATTGAGGTGCATCAGCAGAGCTGTATGCATGTGTGGGGAACCATGGGGGACTGTGGGTTGGGATTGAAGTCATCTGCTGATCTGGGGGTGAGGGCATGGCTCCGAACTGGGATACTAGCAGGGGGTTGCAGGTCAGAATGTGGGGGTAGCAGCAGAGCTGTATGTGCATGGGGGACTATAGGGCAGGGATAGCAGGAGGGCTGTGAATTGGAACTAAGATGTATTGGGTTGCCCAAACTCAAACCCTTCCATGGTACAAAAAGGCAGATTAGAGATTTATCTAGTTAATTCTTTGGAGACTGCAGTCTTTTTCCTAAGCATTAATTTGACAGGAAGTACTGTTGTGGTAAGGTGTTAGCTGTCTTACCTGAGGATTCTTCATGTATTAGGTACCCTGTTTAACTGAACATCTGAACCCAGTCCATTTGAATAAACCCTTCCAGACCTGCCCCTAGTGGGTGATGGGGGAGGCAGCGCTTGTTTTATGTTTTCTTTCTGCCCCTCTGGATGCCTCCCTTTGCCTTTGGGTCCTTTATGTTTCCACAGTGTTAAAAAGCAGGTCCCTATTTTGACTCCCAAATCTCCCTGGCTAGCAATACCTTGTGGTGGCAGGCAAAACGGAATGTCTGGGGGGCAGGAAGGGTTGACTGCTGTGTATGGAGTATGGCAAGAGGAGTTGCGGAAACACTTGGGGCTGGAGATGGAGCTGGCAGCTGTGCACACTTTAATGACCCCAGTAGGGGAGCTCATTTCCTCCGGGGAGCTGAGATCAGTGGGTGGGGCAGAGAATTCTTTGTCTCCCAGTGTAACTATCTTGGAGCTAATTTATGTTACTGTTATTGCCAGGCGTGTTGTGTCGCCTTGGCAACATGTGACCAGGGCTCCAGTGTGTGTAGTCTTTGGGATGGAGAGTGTGTGGGGTGTTTCCGCCTAGAAGGAGCCATTGGAAAAAAGAAAGAGGGGAAGGAGCCTCTGCGGCAGGCTGGCCTCTCTACTGGGCCTTGCACCTGTGATGACATGGCCAGCTCTGTGCTAAGAGGGGATGAGAACAAATACTGTAGCTGGAGCCCCAGCCGTGGGGAGCACAGCCTTTGAGATAAGATCAGACCCAAACAGCGGATTCAAATCCAGGCTTTGGGGCCGAACTGCCCTCCCAACCCTCTCCTCTCAACAGGCTGAAATGTGGAGTGGGGAGCCTGGGTCAGCTCCAAGCTTTCCTGAGCACTGGACTGTTTCAGCTTGTTGCAGGGATGAGTCCAGGCTGAGCTTAGCCTATTCACAGCAACTGGCCCAGATGGGATGTTTCAGACACTGTGACACCAGCCTGTATTAGCCCTCGCCAATCAGGGCCCTTGCTGCAATTTAGTTACTGTGGGCTGCCTGGCACAAGTCCCCTTCCCACCCACGTTTGTCTCCAAGACAATGCTCCCGCCTCCGACATTCCCAGGCTGGAAGCAGAACAGCCCATTGCTCACTGGGACGGGGTGGCAGCTTTGGTGCCTTAAACACATTAGCAGATGTGGAGTGAATGTGCAGCCAAGTTGAATGCAGGGCCTGGATGCTGTGTGGTGTACCCGTTAACTCAGCTGCTCTGACTGCTTCCAAGTGACTCATTGAAGGGAATAGGGGGTGGGGGGAAGAAAGAGGCCAGGGATGCTATATTTCAGGGCATATAACATAGAGTGCTGAAATTCCTTGTGGGTTACCCAAGTCCCCTCCTCTCATGTGTTCCCTCTGCCACACCTGCGTTCAGCCATTAGAGAGGATGATAGACATTGTCCAGCTTCCATATGGAGTGTGTAGATGTACACATGGCCAAATACTGTTCTTGGCCACCCCCAGGCCTCCATACTCTAGGTGCATTTGCAGGCTGAGTCCGACCTGCCCTCAGTAGCTGCAGATACAACTAAATGGGGCACAGATGGGTGCTCCTTCACCTTGTGTTTTGTTGGTTTTAAGTAAGATAACAGCAGGTCCCATCTACAAGGTGCTTTATAAGCATAAATTAACCCAGGCTCACAGTGCCCTTGGAGGCAGGGCAGGGTTATTATCCCCATGAGAAAACTCAGGCACAGAGAGGGGAAATGATTTGGCCACATGGGACTTGCTGGAAGTGTGATATGCATCCCCCTCTGTTCGGTTGGGGGTGGGTTACAGTTATACAAAGCTGCAGTCATTATGGTGTCTCAAAGGGACCTCACGGGGAGGCTCGTGCAGTGATGCACAAGAAGAAAGGAAGGTGAGCACTTTGGAAGGCAGCATCTGAGCCGAATGGACCAGCTGGATCTCAGAGAAACAAATTTGATGAGACACCCAGGAGAAAAAATCCTCCTTCCCCAACCCTCCTGAAGCCAAACTATGCTCCCAGCCCTACCACTGCATTTCAGAGTGTTGCCACTGATAGCCCCAGCCCAAGAGAAAGGGCCAGGAGGGATTCAGCCACAAGGCCAGTTGGCCCCCACTGCTCCCACCTGATGCTTCAGCTCACTGTCCCATCCCCGTATTGTGACCAGGCCACAGAGACTACTCAGCTCACCAAGACTCCAACAGCAGCAGCTGACATTTGAGTGCAAGCTCCAGCCTGAGTTGTCAAATATTTGTAATTTTCATGTCTGAATGAGGGGCTTTGGCAGAGCTGGGTTTAGGATCCCAGTGGTGGAACAGTAGGGGGGCTATGAGTTGAAATTGAGGGACTTTGGCAGAGCTGTGGGGTGTGCAGGGGGGGGAAGCCCAAGGCTGGAATAGCAAGGGTGCTGTGAGTCAGGACTGAGTGGCACCAGCTGAGCAAGACTGAAGTTCATTTTTGAGGGTGGCCTCTGTGCACTCATCCTCCTTACGCTGAGGTAAAGTCCTCCCATGCTCACCTCTTCCCTTCCTGGAAAGAACAGAGGTCTTTTTCTTAACTTTTTCAATCATTTTATGTAGGGATTTCTGTGGGAGACATGATCCCCGTGGATGCCAAGGAGGGAGCAAGCAGGGGGAAGTGACCTCATGGGAGAGTGTGAGGGGTGAGCATGGTCTGTGCTGTTTGTGAAGGCTCTGGGGCTGCTTTTCTGGTGACCGTTGCCATTTCATGGTAGCTGAGCCCGACCCTTTGGCATTTGCAGCCTGCGCCTCTTTTCGTGGCAGGAACAAGTGAAGTGTTTTGCAGGCTGCTGTGAGAGAAGAAAGGCTGCCTTGTTGCTGCCAGAGGTGGGGCACCCGGCTGGGCTGGGCCTCACTCCCTTGCTAGCATTCCTAGAACAGAGTCTGCTTGTGAAGGGCAGCAATCACCCTTCGTGCTGGGGCTTCCCAGGAGGTGAGGTGAGAGGCTGGGATGGGGGGCATGGAGGAAGCATGAAATATGCCCCGAGGGGGGCTCCCCAATTCCTTATCTCCTTGCACTGGGGAGTTCCCTTTGGAGAGCCTTGGAGATAGCCAGGTCCATGGAGTGGCCACTGGCTCCCACAAGGATTCCAACCGGGGCACTGGGATGGGGGAGATGGTACAAAATCTTTGTGGAGAGGTCTGGGCGGGATCAGTGTCCCCCTCCTCTGGAAAGCAGTAAAATCCCTTATAAGGATTATAGCATCTCGATGGTTATGGGTCGGAGGAGGTGCCCTGCTAGGCTAGCGTGAGAGCAGGAAACCTGGGCTTGTCTTGTAGTTAGAGTGGGGTGGGAGAGGAATCAGAACTCCGGTTCTAGTCCTGTCTTGAGGAGGGGAGAGGAGTCTAGTGATTAAAGCTGAAGGGTGTGTATGGAGAGTCAGAGAGTCAGGACTCCTGGGTTCTAGTCCTGGCTCTGGGATAGGAGAGACACCTAATGGTTAGAGCTGGGGTGGCAAGTCTGGGAGACAGGACTCCTGGCTTCTATCCCCTGCTCTGTTATAGACTGCTGTGGTGACTTTTCCTCTCAGTGCTGGAGTTCCCCCGTTTGTGAAGGGGGTACACCCCTCACGGGAGCTGGGTGGGTTTGGTGCTGCCATGCCCAGATCGATGGAAGGTGCCAGAGCATGGCCCAATGTGACGCTTGCCCCTCACTCCACATTGACTCTGTGGGTTTGGCTGGGATCCGGTGGCCTGCTGTGGTGGGAAGGGGTTAATCTCCAAGCATGATTCCATCCTGGCCTCCCTCTCTTCCTTTTCAAGAGTCCAGCCCCCTGCCTGCCTGCCTTTCCTCTGGCCCAGCAGCAGCCAAGAGCTAGCAGCTGGCTGCAGCTGCTTTTGTGGGGAAGGTGCAGGGGTTGGGGAGAGGTTAGGGCTGGGGGCCCTGCTGGCCTGGCTCTCCCCACTGGGGTCTCCTGCCTTGATGCGCCTGTCTCCTCCCCAAGGAGCTCGCAGTACAGACTGTTCTCTACAACTTCTCCCACAGCTGGGCTAGGCCGCACCTCAAGGCCCTGGTGCGAACAGAGCACAGGGACATGAACGCTCTGCCACTGAAGCTGGTGGTCGGTGCTTGGCCCAGTGCCAGGGTGAGGATCCAAGGGCAGGTAAGGTGCGGACCTTAAAACCACACTGTGGCTCGGGATGTGGCGTGTGTGTATTGGAGCAGGGGGATCACACAAACTCTAAGTCTAGCCCTTCCCAGTGCTCATGGGTCCAATGGGCTCCTTGTCCTGCCAGCATCCGGGCTCAGACCCTGACTTGAGGGAGCTGGAGTCCAGGCCGAACGGGGGCTCCTCTAAACACCAGGGGTGGCTCTGGCCCAACAGGTGGCTGGCGCAGGCTCAGCTGCATGTTGCCAAATGGTGTCTGAGCAGGAAGGGGAGCAGGTCCTAGAGAGCTCCAAACCGCTCCACTAATATGCTATGTGGAAGCTGCATTTCCCCCTGCCCGACCCCATTACTGTGTCTCCTACTCTGCCACCCCCGATCCCGGTGCCACATCTTTCCTCTGCTCCCTTTCTCTGCCCCCAGTGCCACGGCCCACAGGAAAGGTCCTGACTGCACAACCCACACAGGAAATCTCATTTAGCAGGTTGGAAACTCCTTTTGCAGCCATGGGAAAGTGGCAGCAAATGGAGAGAAGCCCTGGTGGTAATGAGCTAGTGCCCCCTCTCCAACTTGTTCACAAAAACACACACTGGCCCTCTATGCAGCACGGGCTAGTCCTGCCCCTCAGTAGCTGTAGGCTTGCATATGAGAATCAGGGAGTGAAGGGAAACGGCCCTGCATCACTGTCCAGACAGTGAGATGAGGTTCAGATGAGCTGAGCGTTGGCAGCTCGCAGTGGCAGGAGCTCAGTCCATCTGACAGCCAGATCCACATCAATTCTCCTGGCTCTAACCCCTGAACTATCACTCAGCCTCACGTCCAGCATGCTCCTTTTACAAATAATGTTTCCAACTCAGCTCCTCCACTCCATACCCAGGGCCCAGCTTGGGGGAAGCCTGGCTTCCCTTGGTGTCAGTGGGGGCTGCTATGAAAATTGGGCCTGAATGCCAATCTAGGCACTTCAGTTTGAATTCTGTCTGGTCTTACTTCCTGATGCTGTCCTCTTTCAGCTGCCTATTCCGGAGGGAGCCAGGGTCTTTACTGTGAACTGATGGTTATTTTGTTCTTTCCCAGCCCTGGAGTCAAAACAGTCTTTTTCCAGCCTTTCATTTTTTCCGCAGTGTGTAATAGCTACGCACTAGCTCCCACTCTTCCTGGCCAGGCTGTGTGCTCTCGCCCTGGGTATGGTTTGTGCTAACCACAGACCATGCTTGCTTTGACAGAGTAGGGAAAGGATCTCTCCTTGCTACACTGGTTGAAGCCTGAGGATCTGTGGGCTAGGATTACCAGGGCAGCCTGTAGATAGCTCTGTCTCTAGGGAGAGTAGGAGAAGCCCAGACTTTGCCCATCTAAGGGGTATGTGCTGGCATTTGTCCCAGAGCCCAGTCATGGGTTGTACATATGCTGTACAGAAGAGCAAATCACAGCTGCCTTCAGCTGGAACCAGAGGAGCATTGCATGCTGGGCTAGCACTGGTATTTTCCACTGGCCTAGGTGTTCTGATAGGTGAAGGCAGCACTGGGTCTCCATGAAGCCCATGAGCTGCAGTGATCCCAGGCTACACTAGGGCCTTGTCTAGGCCCTCACACTCTACTAACCCATCTCCCACAAATGGCCTGTCTTCTGGATGGGATGTGGACTGAAGTTCTGGTCACTTGGGAGCAATAAAGTTCCCAGGACACTTTCCACAAGCCGGGGCATTGACTCCAGTGTCCTGGCCAAAGCCCATCTTGGGTAATTACTCTCTGCCAATCCTGCCCGCAGCAGTTTCAGTTGGATACAGGTGGTTATTCCCTGTCTGCCCTAACCTGTCACTGTGCTGGTGTGTGGCAGCTGCCACGTTTCACCCCAGAGGTGGCTGTATGTCAGTCCTAGGGGAGTGATGTTTCTGTAGAGCACTGTGGGATCCTTCTAGGTGAAAAGTGCTATGGGAATTTTTCCCCTCTTCAGGGTCTGTCTCTAGGCCCTTGCGATGCATTAGACACAAGCATCTGTGAGATCTGGGTCCCTTTAATACGACCCAGGAGCAGTGCAACCCTGTTCTGGCTGTGTCTGTAATGGGTGGGCTGCTGGATGTGTGGGAGCAGAAACTAAACAATCGTTCCATGCACTTGGAGTGGCCCTAGGCCTTGGCAGGAAAAGGCACAAGAAATGCCCAGCTGGCAAAGGTGAGCTGGTGGAGAACAGCAGGGAGCTGTCTGGAGGTCAGGCATCGCCACTGACCCCTGGTGGGACTTTTGGAGTTGTTTTGATCAAGTTACCCCAGCCCATCCTGTTCTCTCAAATCCCGCTGGGGCCAATGCTGACCGGGGCGCAGGTGAAGCAGGGCCAGGGAAGCTTCCTGGGGGTAACTGAGAGGAGAGTTCAGCGTGTTTTCCTGAAAGCATGTTGGGGCTCTTGGGAGTGTCAGTGGCTGCATTCATGAACATTGTTCTCCATTGGCAATGATAGGAGAAGGCTAAGTCCATGCTATCACCTGCAATGCAGGCTTAGCCTGTAGGTGGTGCACTGGTGTCACACAGCTTGGGCTGCTTTTAATGAGCCATATGTGACCTAGTTCTGCCTTAATACCAGCAAAATAACATTTTACAAAGAGCAGAGGCCTGGTCGAGGAAGGAGGGGCTGGGCTGTCTCTTCCCCAGATAAATGCGACCAGCAACTCTAATTCCTCCCAGACACTTCCTCTGTAGTCCTTTTTGAGCCCTGCATTGCTGGGGGACTCAGTAGTCCAGTGCATCTTTCCAGCTCTGAATATCCCAGCACAATACTCTTCCATCCGAGTGATTTGTCTGCAGCTCCTTGGGGAAGGAGTGGTGGCTGCATCACTTGGGGTATTTACACCAGACTGGCTAAAGAGCTGGTGCCTATATGATAGGGGAGCTCTTGCTGGGAAGCAGGGGCTGAAGGGTCCAGCAGATCCCAGCCTTCTCCGGAGCCTCTTAACCTTATTCTGAAGCAAAGTGATTCTTGCTAAAAGCGTAGGCTTCACCCCACCCTCATTGCTGACAGGGAGAATGTTAGTGCTTCACACTGTCTCAAAATAGTGGTTTGGGGGCAGCTGCTAGGAACCCAGGTGATACAATCTGCCCCTGACCTGCACTCAGACAACACAAGGCTCGGAGCAGTCCTTATAATTATATGGTAATGTCACAAGCCATGTGATCTGTAGTGGGGGAGCCAACAGAACCCAATGAGCCACAGGCCAAATGGAGTGAGGTCTCTTCCCCACAAACTGTCCATCCTCAGATCTGCTCTGGAAGCTCTTACAGACCAGGCCAGCAAGGAGGGGGTTACTGCTGCCATCCTGCTGTAGGGTGACCCCAAGATGGAAGTGTGGGATGGGGGTAAATTTAGAAACTGTAGCCTGGCCCAGCCTGCTAAGCTGGCCCAAGTGGTCTGAGCGCCAGAGTGCAGGAAATCACTGGCTTGTGGGGTCAGTTTCCTCTCCAAGCTGCTTTATTTATTCTTCCTGCAGGGACAGAAACCCTGCCCAGGATGGTAATGTAGGAGGAGCTGAAATCGGGTTTCAGTTAGTCAGTTTGTGTGTGTGCAAGTGTGTGTTTGAACATGTATGTAAATGTGGGGCATGTGCAGACATGCAGAGGGTCTGAGGAGCTGTGTGCGCACACATGAATGTGTGGGGTTCTAGTTCCCTAAGCAGCACCTGGGAGAGAGACTGGCTGGTGCATGACATCCCTGCTGACTAGTGGGGCGGGCTGCTGGGCAAGCATGGATGCGTTGTCATAGGTAGTATGTGTACGTCTGTATCTGTTCGTCCTTCCTTCCCTGCATCCCAGATGTTGGGTTTTTCCCTCAGTGATGGTTTAGTGATGTAGATTTTTAAAAATGAGTCTCTACAAAGCTGTTGTTCAGTTAAGACTCCCTCTTTTGTTCTGTGTTCTGTAGTTATGCGCTCTGTGTACAAGTGTATGTTAGTGAATGTGTGTGAGAGAGAGAATATCGATGGATGGATGGACAGAGAAATGTAATCTTGAGACAATTTCTGAGCATCTGGAACCAGGAATTTGCCATTAAATGTAACCCTTGGAACTGAGACATGGAACTGAGCCCCTGGCTACTCATGCCATCCTAGGGCACATGGTATGAGTTGGGCTCTTAGCTCAGGTGTCTTGGCCCCATTCTAACCCCGGGAAGTTGCCTGCTGCCTCCCTATAGTTCCCTGAAGTTTCACTGGAAGAGAAGATTCTTTTTCCTGTCCTGCCAGTCTGAGTGCTGTTAAAGAGCTGCTGTGCTGGAGAACTGGCTGGCCCGTTCCCGTACACCTCCCCTGACAAGCCTTGTGCAGGGTTTATGATGGTAATGTAGTTCATGTTTGTAAAGAGCTGGGAGATCCTTGGGTGAATGGTGAAACATGCTCTGCACACGTTCTGTAGCATACTATACATAGGGGCTCGAAGTTACTGTGCTTTTTGGGTGTTTGTGCCGCTCACTGTCATTTCGCATCAGCGGAGACCCTGTGGCAAGGTATGTTTGCAGAATTACCCAGTTCAGCTGGGGTCCAAGCCAGATGCCCCTGTGGTCATTTCCCCATTGACTTGAGCAGGAGCAGGCAGAGAGCAAATGAGGCTCAGGGACTCAGTCACGCAAAGCCCAGCTGGTAAAAGGTTATGAGGCCAGAAATTATGCCCCCTGGTGTCCAACTCTCAGAGCTGCAGCCATCAACTCTCCTAATGCTGTCTCTCTTTAGTACTGGGATCCATACACCCCACCCATTTCTAGAAGAAAATAATGCCAATGCGGACGCTGGGTAAAAGCCTGGAAGCTGCTTGTGTCTATGGGTAGGTGGGTGGGGGGAGCAGCGTGATGTAGAATGTGTACTGCTGAGGACATGTTGCTTTTCTTTGGAACTCTTCGTCCAAGTACTTCAAGCTGGTTACAAACAGTCACAAGCTCTGACAGCCTGTGTGGATAGGTGGGTGTGATCCCCACTGTAAAGATGGGGAAACTGAGGCCTGGAGCAGTGAAATGACTTGCCAGAGGTCAAGCTTGGAATAGAACACAGACATCCTGATTGTCCATCCCCTGCTATAATCACTAAACCACTCTCTCCTTTTATTGATTGGGCCTAGATAATGGGGCCTCTCGATCACTCACCTGTGCTTGCTGGGCTGCTTTGAACTTTACTCTCAGCCTGTGACCTTGTGTCTCATTGGTCCAACCTTCTGCATCCCCTGTTGGGGAGGGAGAGGTGCGTCTCTGCAGCACAGCCCCGTGCACAGTGCTGGTTTGGTTCTGTCGTATTCCTGTTACTGGAGGGCTCTCTCAAGTCCTAACACCCCCTCTGTGTTTCTGGTTGCTTCCCAGGAGAGTGCCAGGCACATTGATGAAGTTGCCATGGAAACGTCAAACAGGAATGTTACCAGCCCGACCCGCAAAGTCCAAGCAGTCATCCAGGTGAGTGTGTGCCGGGGTCACCTCCTCCAGCCAGTGCATCAGCACTGCTGCCTTGTGCTGGGGAGGGCAGACTGAGAGAGGTTTGAGGGCTAATGCCCTGTCCTTCCATCACCAGAGACTGGCACTGGGGTCACAAATGAGCAAAGGTTATTGGTCCTAGAGAGGGATTCAGGGGCGATGCTGAGAGTACTGGCGATACAGGCTGCTTAGGTCCCCATAGTGATGGGGCCAGCAGGAAATCAGGGCATCCCAAAAACCAAAGAGAGAGCAGCCCCAAGTGCTGGGAGATGGGCCTGGCAATCCCCTGAGAGTATAGGGAGAGTTTATTCCCTCTCCCAGGCCTGGGTCAGTCTTCATACATGGCCCTGCTTCGGTTATGGGCCAAACCCCAATTCCAGATGGGGGTTCTAGATTGGGCAGTTCAGCATCCATGTACTTGCACTTTGGTCCAGTTGGCCCTAAAGGCTCCTGGGGGATCTTGTGGAGAGGGGACATGGGAACAGTTTGCCAGAGAGGAATTGTGGCCCCATCACGATAAGAGGCTGTTGATGATTTATGGTCAATGAGGCATGATCCCCCACCCTAGAGCTCGAGAATGGCATGGCTCTGTGCCACATCTCCCACCTTCCACTCTCTCCCAGAGCTTAACTCTGAAGGGATCTTGGTATTCTGAATAACCCCAGGACTAGGGTGTGGGTGACAGGAGCTGCCTTCTGCCGAGTGCCATTGGGCCTTTCCTCCCAATCCTATTATGGGATTGGCTGTAAATCCAGTTGGGCTAAATGGCTAGTACCTTGGATCCTATTAAAAAGAACCTGAGCCCATGGAATCCCCCTTGCCCTAGGGCTGGACTATTGTCACTTTTCATCCTTCTAGTCTCCTCTTCCCCAAGCCTGCAGCACAGAGCAAAGATCACAGCCGGCCTGTCTTGAGATCTGGAGACGTGGGGAAGGCCCAGAACCCTCGGACTCCACATCTGAGGAGTCCACTCCTCAACTTGCTAACCCGCTGTCTGGAGCCCACACAGGGCTCTGGGAAAAGGGCTGAGGGAGACACCCTCAGAATGTGGAGCCAGGGGCACAGCAGTCTGTGCTTGTGGGGATGCATGTCGGTATTCCTGCATGTACATGTGTGTGCATGCAGCTGATGGGGTCTAAGTGAAGCCTGGTTGGATTCTGGTTTACCTGCAGTAGGGTCAGGGGCCCAGGGCAGTGAGGAGAGCCTTGCCCTGCTGGCTGCAGCCAGCCATCCTGTGAGACCTCCACGTCCGCTCTTCCCTGTCATATAGAGCAGGAAGATAAGGAGCCCATAAATATTTATGATCCATCTTTGCTGTGCAAAGTGGGAGCGGAGATAGAACCTATCTGAATCACTGATTGTGGACAGGCTGCTGGGTAGGAGCCAACCCACAGCACAGACCCCATCTGTCTCCTTGTCCATCCATCCGTTTACTGGCATGTTTCAGGGGCTAAAGCAGCTCCGCTGCAGTAAAGGAACCAGGAGAGCATCTCCCAGTTGGAGGCCTCAGCAAGTGGGGGTGAGGGGTGGATGCCTCTTTGTCATGGTTCGGCCTGGCCCAGGGCCTGCAAGGGTGCAGTGGGGTTATGGCTGGCATGTTTTGTATCCCCACTGCCACTTCCGGCTTCTCCAAGCAGGGGAAGGTTTGGCCAGTGAGTTCTTTCTGGAGCAATGATCCAGTATGGTGGGATCTGGGTCGGGAATTCCCCCCGCCAATGCTGGCTCCACCTGCGTTCAAGCCCTAGAGATGAAGCCACCCATGTATGGGCAAGTTCTTAGAACATGCCCCACCCCTGCCTATCATAAGCACCGCTGGCCTTGCTCCTCATTTCAGGGGTCTTGTTTGCACACCCCCGCCTGTGCCCCAGACATGTACCAGCCTTGTCCCCATGGATCTGGGCTCCTTTCATCCCTGCTCCCTCTCGTCCTTTTCCCACATGCGTGGTGCTGCCAGTGCAAGAGCCACCTCCTCTGCAGCAGCTGGTGCCATATCTGCCTCCCGATATGTATGTCCTCATGCCGGACTGACAGCTCTGGAGCCCTCTGCTTACCTCCAGAATGGTCAGTGTCAAGGTCAGCATCCACAACCTGGCCTGCGCTGGAGGGGTGAGAAGAGAGGGCAGTCCCAATGGCCTGTTCAGCCCTTGACCTTTTTGCTGACACTGCCCATAAGGGACCGACTGGGGTGGCTTTTGTGCTGTGGATGCTGGTCCACCAGGAATTGACTGAGACTCACCAAACTCATTGCATTTCCTGCCAGGTGGAAAACCTCTCTGTCCCCCATCTAGGAAGGGCTCAGCCCAGTGACCTCTCCCCTGAGTTCAGGGATGAGCATGTTCTAACCAGGGGTTCTGCTTTATCCTTCCCTACAGAACAGTCCTCTGGACCTAATAGACATGGGCAAGGGGCTGAAGGTCCAGACCGACAAGCCACATCTGGTGAGCCTGGGCAGTGGCCGGCTCAGCACTGCCATCACCCTCCTGCCCCTAGGAGAGGGTAAGTTCCCCTTGCCTGTGCTGTGACAATGGGCAGAGGCTGATAGGGGTTAGGAGCTCACCTGGGGGAAGGGGTGTCACTTTTCCTGCTCTCCTGTGGCTGAGACCCCCTGTGTAACTTACACTTGGTGGAGACCAACTGTCACACCGTGGGAAAGCCAGACTGTGGAGAGGGTGTGTTTGTAATGGGTAGAACAGGAGGCTGCTGGGATTCCATTCCCAGCTGTGTTATAGACTCACTGTGAGGCCTTGGGCAAGTCCCCTACACCCCAATTTTCAAACTGGCTGTTAATTTTGAATGCCCCATTTTAGGACCCTTGGGCCTGATTCTAAGAAGTGGTCATTAATTTGGGGGGGGAGTCCAACTGGAAACCCTAGGGCCTGAATTCCAGGGGTGCTGAGCACACGCAAGCTTCCACTCATGTCAGCTAGAGTTGTGGGTGCTCAGCGCCCCCGGAAGTCATCCCCTAGGGGTCTCCAGTTGGGCCCCCCAAATTAGTGACCACTTCTGAGAATCTTAGCCTGCCACCCTCCATCCCCATTGCTAAATGGAGCTAATATTCCTGCCCCGCCCCAGTATCTGATATGGACCTCCTGCCTGCCTGGATTGTAGGGTATAGTTAGTGAAAGATTACATGGTGCTTTTGGAGCCCAGATGAGAGGCAAAAGACAGGGCTATTGATGGCCTGGCACGCAAGACGCTGCTGCACTGCACTTGCCTTCTGCCACAGTCGATGCACAGACTGAAGGCAGTGTGTTACCTGTGTGATTCCCTCTGCTCTTGCTGACTACTGTCAGTGTTGGCCTGACTGCTGCTGCCAGCCATGTCCTTGCCCCCTCCCCGTCCCCTCCAGGTGTGTGGGCTTTGCTGTGATCCACTTTTGTGTGGCTGTAACTTCCTGCAGGGTGCTGAGAAAGCCCCACTAAAATAGCCATATCTAGATGCTGAATGTAGGATCCGGAACCTGGGTTAATCTCACTGAAAATGGGGGTGGGGAGGCACAGTCTGGATCTGGCTGGGATACCCAGAGCCCCTGGGGGGTGGGCACTAATTCCCACCCATCTTTAGTCCCAGCAATGGGAGCTGGTGCTGCCACACCCTCTCATCTTGCAGGGACTTGGGTTAACATCTACACTGACGTTCCTGGTTTATGTGAGCTCAGCAGCCCAGAGCCAGATGGGAACCAGCATCCCAGCGAGAGCTGGGCTGGCAATGGGATTCAGATCCAGTCTTGGCTCCCAAGAATGGAGGGAGTGAGAGGCACATAGGGCAGCTGTTCCTTCCCTCCTGACGGTGAGTGGCTAGCTCATTTTTGTGGCTCCCAGAGGCGCTGGAAGCTCCTGGAAAGTTTCAATCCCCAATAACACCCCGCCACCCCTCCCTGGCAGCCCCTGTGAATGGCCCTGCTACAGGGACAAGCACATGATGATCAGAACCCAGTTGTGCTTCCCCATCCCTGAGCCACTTGCCCCCTGCCTCTCAGTTTAGGATCAGAGACTCCAGCTCCTTCATGGATCAACCCCTCCAAACGTCAGCCCTTCTCCAGCAGTCGGTGTTGGGAAGCGAGCCTTAGGCATGCATCTGTGTCCAATAATTGTTATTGAGGCCATAGTGCAGTCTCAGATTAAAGATCAGATTAAAAACCGGAGAGAAGCAAGAGCCAAGCTCTCCCTGGAGACATTGCTGTTAGCAACCTGTCTGCCTCTTTGGCCTGAGAGGCAGGGAGCTGCCAGGTCTGCTCCTTGTGGAGACGTCCAAGGTCTTACTGGGAAGGATTCACCTGTGCACGCGTGACATGCCCATAGACCCTACTGAGCCCCCTGCACTTCAGACAGGGAGTGTGCTTCCTCCACCAGGGAGGGAAGGGGAGCAGAGCGGAGCTGCTTCTTGGGCCATGCACTTGTACCTAGTGAGCCTTGCTTTTGGACACATAGTCAGCAAGGGCCTGAGAGTGTGAAATGGGGGGGGAGGGGGGGCTAGCCAAGAGCTTGGGGTCTGTTCATCACAGAATCAACAGAGGAAGCTGCTAGAGATAACTGGGTCAAAGGAGAGTGGGAGTTGCCTGCCCAAGGAGGCAGCTGGAGATTGGGGTTGCAGTGGGGTGGGGGGAAGAAGAGGTGGAGGGGCCAGGGGAACTTGCCTGTCTGATCAGAGAGAGTGAAGGAGATAGGAGCAGGAGGAGGAACCTAGGGACACAGTGGTTAGTGTGAAACAGGATTCTTTATCACTAGCCTCCTCCTGCCTCTTCTGCTGCATCTCTGCTTGGGTTCATGTTCCTAGAAGGGACAAGACTGGGATGTGTGGGTCGCTCTTTGGGGGTGTCTGACCACCGACATTTAGCTCTCTGTTGTCTGTGCCCAAGTGGCCCCATGTCTTCCCAGCAGCTAATAGGCTGAGACCCTGCAGGGAGCCAGTGCTGCCCAGGAAACAGCATGATCAATAGCAGCCCTGATAAAAGCCCCAAGGAGCATGGGCTCTGACCTGAGGACCTGCAAGGTCCCATCTCTCTGGCCTGGCCTTTGCAGTCTGGGCCACAAACAGGAGCCCAGTGCTAATCTCTGCAGCCAAGGAGAGAGCAGCACTGTGCTGGACCCTGCAAGGCTGTCAAGATCTTGCCTTGTGGAAGGACTCCCCTCTCCTCTGAAGTACAAAGCAGCCCTGTTCCCCCAAGTGCTGCAGAGTGCTGGGGCCGGAGGGACAAATCAGCACTGCCACATACCCTGTGGGTGCAGACTGCCCTGCCTTCGGAGCTCTAAGAGTCAGCCTGGCCTAGAGGAATGAGCACAGGACTTCTGGATCCCATGTCATGCCCCTATATGAGGGGCTTGTACCCCCATTTCCTGAGGTGGAGGAATCAGTGGCTGTTGGTGGTTTGTGTGTGTGTGCAGGGGGCGATGGGTACAGGAGCTGGGAGAGGCTGTTTCAGTCCCTCTCTAGGAGACCCACCAGTGTCTAAAACTTGGTGGCTTGACGCCCAGGCCTGCACTTGCTCTGCAGCATCAGGACAGAAGCTCCCCTCCCCCCTCAGCCCTGGCTGCACTCCCGTTATTCCACAGAGTTACGTGTCCTCCCCCCACCCCCACTTCCCAGTTCAGGAGCTCCTCTGGGCAAAAACTACAGAGGCTGCTTCCTGCCCAGCCCCCATCTTCCTATCACATGGTGCCCATGCAGGGTGGGGTGCACACCAAGTGGGGTTTTGGCACCAATAATACAGGGTGAGTGGTCCCCTCTCAGCCACTGTAAATGGGGGTGCTTGACCTGCTTTGGCCTCCCATCCCATGCACATGATCTCCTTGTTATGACCCAAGGAGCATTAAGCAGATGTTTCTCCTTGCAGGGAGGACGGTGATTGGCTCGGCCGCTAAGGACATTGTTCTGCAGGGGGCTGGGTTGGCCTCTGAGCACTGCTACATCGAGAACGTGTGTGGGACCCTCACCCTGCACCCCTGCGGGAATGCCTGTGCCGTTGATGGCCTGCAGGTTAAGCAGCCCACTCGCCTGACCCAAGGTAAGGTGCCTACCCTTGGGCATCAAGGCTGGCTGTGGTGGGAGCAATGCATGAGAAGACACTCCTGACCACTCAACTAGCTCCAGGCCTGGGCCCCTCAGTCCCCAAAGATTGGTGATGTTTGGGTCAAGTTCTGGCTTTCCTAGCTTTGTAAGGTGGATCCTGACTTCCTCTGACTTTGGATATGTTTGGAGCCAGCTGCAGGTCTACAGCTAGGGTACATCTTTGCCTTGGAGCTGCGTGAATCATAGTTATCCTGAGAGCAGGTGAGGGTAACTGGGCTTGAGAGAGCGCCCAGTGCAACTTAGCCCAGCCTCACTGAGTTTTACGGAAGCTTTATTGAGCTGGGATCGGCTTCAGGGTGAACTTGCCTTGTGTTTTCAGCGAGTCACTGCTTTCAGTGGAACTAAAACCCCAGCCCTGGGTGCAGGCCCAGCACCAGTGGTGACTGCTAATTAGGTGAAGCCCAGTTCCAGTAACTATCCTGTTGGGGTGCTGAGTTAGTGGGGGTGTCCCACCAGGAACAGAAGCTGGCTTGGTTAGTGTGCAGGTGGCATGTGGTTCTGATTGCGCAGCTTCATTGGAGTCCTGGCTGCACAGAGATTCCTCCTCCCCATCCCCCTTCCTGAAGGAGCCCCCAACATTTGCTGTAGGTTTGGAGTCTCCTTTATATTTTAGCCATTGAGTGCTCTGACTCAGCTGGAGGGATCTGCGTTTGCCTCCCTGGTTATGTCTACACAGCAAATAAAAATCCACGGCTGGCCCACGCCAGCTGACTTGGGCTCACGGGACTTGGACTATGGGGCTGTTTCCTTGCTGTGTAGACTTCTGGGCTCAGGCTGGAGCCTGGGCTCTAGGACTCTGCGAGGTGAGAGGGTCTGAGCCCGGATGTCTACACAGCAATGAAAAAGCCCCACAGCCTGAGCCCTGCGAGCCTGAGTTGGCTGGCATGGGCCAGCTGCAGGTTTTTCTTTGCTGTGTAGACATACTCCCTGTCACCTTGATGAGGACCAGTTCTCCTTAACATCTCATTGTCTCTTCCCTTGGAAATGGCCCATGTGCCCAGGGGATGATACTACAGGCCCTTCTTGTCAGTGGTTAATTGGAATTTTCCAGGCTAGTATTTCTGAAGAAATTTCTTGCCTTGCTAGCATGGTGTGTGCAGTTCCAGAGCAAGGAAGGTTGGCCATTGTGGAAATGCAAGACTCCCAGCTTGCCTCCCCATCCTCTCAGCCTTCCAGGGCTCCATGGAGGGCAAGGACAGCACAGGCAGCTCTGCTGATGGGAATTTCTTTAGCAATAATAATCCTTTCTAGAACCTCAGTGTGACTCACTGGTCAAGCTTGTGTTGTGTCCCCTTCTATTGGCAGTTGCATTAGAGGGTAACAGCCTATTACTGCTACCAGCTAATGGGATTACTCCTTTAGTTTTTGTGGTCAGGGTGCTGAAGATTCTTGGGTTCAAACCCTGCTACAGGCTCAAGCAGGGGGCTATCATCATTTGAGAGGTCAGTCTTTCTGGTGTTTAAATGAGGGTTGTAAAGAGGAGAGAGTGCTAGACTGTCTTGGGGGGAAGGCAAATTTGGGACTAAGATGAGGGGTAGATGGGGACAGGTGTGACCCATCCTGCATCCTCAGTTTGTCTCCTAGGAGCAGGTTTGAGCTAGAATCCCTAGTAGCTGGAAGCATGGCATGGACTAGCCCTATTGGCCCATTGCCACACAATGCTGTCATGCATGGTTCTTAAAAAGAGATGCCTGCTGAAATTCTTTGCACCAGGTCACAGATTGCACTGGAAATGGCTCTCTGCTCACCTGTGCCCCAGTTCCTTGCTAGCCCATGGAGAAACATGCTGCTTTAGGGGAGCTGCCATGCACTTTGCCGGGTAATCTGGTATTAAGGTCTCTGGCACAAAACACAGACTCCAGCTCCCCCTCCCTGATGCAGAGTTTACACTGTCAAATATCAAAGGTGCATCCTGAGCCACCTTCTGACAGCTGCAGAAAGCAGAGGCGGGATCAGCTGCCAGGAATTTATTAGAGCCTCTAATAATGGTTGGGCTTGTTTGAGGCAGAAAGGGGAATTTAGAGCTGATTGTTTTAAAAGAACTGACCAGCTGATAAACAAACAAGGCTTTTTAATCCAGATGCTTCCTTTTCATGTAATTATTTCAGCTTCTAGGTTCAGCTTTCCTGGGCCATTTCCCAGGCTGTCCCCTTCCCCATCTATCCTTAAAAATATCAGCATGCCTGAGTCACGCCCTCTCTGATGTACTTCCTGTTGGTTTCATTTGCCATGACCGGGCTCCCTCATTTCCCTGCCCTTTCCCTTTGTCCCATGGTTGAGATTTGCCTGGCTTAGACTTGAAGCTCTTTGAAGCAGGGTCCCTGTGTCTCTGCTTGGCCCTTTACAGAACTTGTGGGAAGGGGGGGAGGTGGGATTGTCCACATTAACAGGCCTTCTTGTTGGGGTCATTCTAGAACTTTGATTGCCACGGTAACGTGGTGCAATGGCATCGTTCTAGAGCTTGAGATGCCATAGCAATGAGCTGCAGGCTTGTAACGGTTATGGCCAGCTGGTGGCATCTGCTCCACGAGGGGGCTCTGAACACTGTGAAGAGGAACAAAGGGGCATGAGCCTTGCTCCACCTGGAGAAAATCCAGCCTAGAGGAAATGATGCAGTGTGGCCTCTGGAGTCACAGGCACCATAAGTGGGATGGCCCAGAGCCAGACCTTCTTTCTCCCAACGGCTCTTAACCGAGGAGCACAGCGTTTACCAGAACAAATCTGAGCTAGCCCTGATTCCTCTGCCTGCCACACTGGATCAGTCCATATGGCTGGGGGTCCTGGATCCTCATGCAATGCTTCAGAGAAGGCTGAAACACCCTACCCGATGCTTGGCCAGTTGTGCTGAGCTGTGGGTGGGGTGTGAGATCTTGGCTCAGCTCAAGGCACTGCTGGAGACAGGATACCGAACTAGACAGACCACAGTTCTGATCCTGTCTGATCATTCTAATGGCCATTGGGCTGTGAGGCGGAGCTGGCCTCGTGTGAGGGATAGTCTGAGCTGACAACCACCTCGGACCTGTGTCTCCAGTAAGGTGTTTTGTGAGGCAGCGGGTGGGGCGACACACCTCTCTGCTGGCAGTGTTTGCTTAGCTGTAGTGTACCTACTCCCGTGTGCTCCAGCGTGGGCTGGCTCTGTAACGCATGGCACAGCTGGCCAGCATCCTGTCAGGCCCCTCATCTCCCTCTCAGTACAACTGGGGACATAATCCTCACCCAGCCAGCAAGACTGTCTGTGATGTAAGCTCCTCTGTTAAACCGTCTGCTGTCTGTACCCAGCAGGGAAGGAGCAAGGTCTGTGCTGCCCCTAATTGGGCCTGTTGTCCCAGATGGAAACACCACATGCTCCCATCTAGCTGACGTGGTGCCTTGTACCCATTGACCTTGATTTGTAGCACAATACAGGGTGCAAAGCAGATTGTATGTGACTTTTTCTAGTACTTATCACCGGGAATGGGGAACCAGGAATCCTGGGTTCTACGCCTGACTCTGTTGCTGACTCACTGTCTTGGGCCCTCTCTGTGCCTCAGTTCCCCCACTTAGAAAAGGGTGCAACGACACTGGCCCTGCTTTGTAAAGTGCTTTGAGATCCTGGCAGAAATGCTAGTGTTAGTTATCAGAGATTCCCCAAGGCACTGGCTCTGCAAGCCCACAGGTCACATGACCTCTTTGTTCAGTGGAAGGAACAGGGGAGTGGGAGTAAGGACTCCTGGGTTCTTTTGTTCTTGGCTCTGCTATTGGTGCTCTTGGCTTGACCTCTCTGTGCCCTGATTTGTGTCTGTGAAATGGAGATACCAGCTCCCAGCCTCATAGGGGAGGGGAGGTTGAGCCAGTTGATATCTTCACCAGGCTTTAAAAGTACGGAGGGTTGGGTATTGCTGAGCTCAAACTGGGATGAAATGGTAATCCTCACACGCTCAGATTTCCTATGGGCGATAATAGGCCCTGAAATATGTGCAGGGGACTCTGCCTTTCTGTACAGGCTGCCCTGCTGGGGATTTCACTCTTGCTATGCCTCATAAATAAACCCCCAATTTAGCTGTAAATGACACATTCAGCCTTAATACTTCATGGCTGAATGACGTCTTTTACAGCACTGGCCCTGGTGTTAGCATAGTTACAGCTTGTCGCGGTTACAATGTTGCTGTGTGTGATAAAGCAGCTGCATAGAGCTGCAGGGGGGAGGGGAGATGGGGGGCACAGAGAATGTTTGTGCTTGGTTTTTTGCTTAAATGTTTCTTAGGATACTTGCATTTGGTGACCTGTTTGGTTTGGTGACCTGTTTGGTTCCTAATTGACATTTCTGCCACAGGACAAGTGCAGTTCATTACAATCAACCATGCAGGTGCTTTGGAGGATAAGGATTAAAATTCAAAATGATCTGGACAAACTGGAAAAATGGTCTGAAGTAAATAGGATGAAATTCAACAAAGACAAATGCAAAGTACTCCACTTAGGAAGGAACAATCAGTTGCACACATACAAAATGGGAAATGACTGCCTAGGAAGGAGTACGGTGGAAAGGGATCTGGGGGTTATAGTGGACCATAAGCTAAATATGAGTCAACAGTGTAACACTGTTGCAAAAAAAGCAAACATCATTCTGGGATGTATTAACAGGTGTGTTGTAAGGAAGACATGAGAAGTAATTCTTCTGCTCTACTCCATGCTGATTAGGCCTCAACTGGAGTATTGTGTCCAGTTCTGGGTGCCACATTTGAGGAGAGATGTGGACAAATTGGAGAAAGTCCAGAGAAGAGCAACAAAAATGATTAAAGGCCTAGAAAACATGACCTGTGAGGGAAGAATTGAAAAAATTGGGTTTGTTTATTCTGGAAAAGAGAAGACGGGGGGGGGGGGGGAAAACGGACAGACATGATAACAGTTCACGTATGTAAAAAGTTGTTACAAGGAGGAGGGAGAAGAATTATTCTT